GGAACCGGGGATTGAACTCAGACCCTTGCACTTGCCAGGGAAGTGCTTATTACACTGAGGCATCTCCCCGGCCCCTCTACTGATTTTTGAGTATTGACTTTATATCCAGTTATGCTACTGAATTTGACTATTAAATCTAGAAGTCTTTTGGCCGTGTTTTTGGGATATTCTGTAGAGTATCATCTCATCAGCAAATAATAATAATTTAATTATTTCCTTTCCTATCCTTATTCTTCTTATTTCTTTTTCTTCTTTAATTTCTTTGGCCAATGTTCCTAGAACTATATTGAAGAGGAGTGGTGATAGTGGACATCCATGTTTTGTTCCTCATGTTAGAGCAAAAGCTTTCAGATTCTAACCATTTAGTATGACTATTGTAGCCAAGGCTTGCAAGGAATAGATTTAATACTGGACACATAACTTATAGAATTTTTTTATGATATTCACCCAAAAAGTCAAATACAGAAGAGTGTAGGACACATCTTCCCACACTAAATAACCAAAGAATCCAGCTAAGGGCCTGGGTCACATGACAATGGCTTGCATGAGTCCACTTGAAGACCTAGAGCTCATTGCAATATCCTCCATACACCTAGCTGGAGGCTCAGAGCCCTTGACAATGTCTCATGCAAGTCTGTAACAAGCATCTGCACTGAAAAGGCCCAAAAGTCAGTTAGTCTGCATCAGCAGGATGAAGAATCTGTGCCAGCAGGCTGAGGAATCTGCACTGGAGCCTGGAAGGGGTGATCAAAGTAAGGAGCAGAGCTCCACTGAAGAAAATAACAGCTATCCTCAGTGACAGAAAGGACTGGAGCACCAGGTAATGAGAACAACTAAGTCCATAGCAGGAAAACAAGCACAACAAGCTTCTCCATGAAAATCAACAACACACTATCTTCTCTTCCCGGTCTTCTTTTGTGCTCTTGGCAACAATCTTGAGGTGGGTTTTCTACACCCAAAACCATGCTGACTCAGTTCAGCTGGGTGTTACAAATTGGCCATTAATTAACCCACCACACTTTGTAAGCAGCAAAGAGCAAATACCTAAAATATGACTTTATTGGTGAAGAAAACATAAGGTTGGCTTCATCTTATGGAACTGTAAAAATCTGTTAGTAAAATGTCCCTTTGCAGCTGCTACAATCCAAAAAATTCCCTTGTAGATTTCCTGATGGCTTATAGGATTGTCTGCAAATGTTGCAGGGTTTTCTAAATTCACTTTTAGATTTGGAAAACATTTTAGCTGCCCACTTTCAAGGTCTGGGGCAAGTTGGCTTGCATGCCACAGAGAGTTGTGAGTGCCCACTGTGGCATATGCACCGTAGGGTCAGCACCACTGCACTAGCGGAGAGAGGAAAAGCTTAGATTTTGCCCTGTGCTTCTCGAGGTGAATTCAGGGTATAGAGACAGAATTTCTACCTAGACTTTCTGGGCTCAAATTCAGCCTGCCTGGAGACTTTAAAGAGTGGCAGTGGTGAAGGTTCTGACCTGTGGAGATGAGCTATGTATTTGTTTATTGGTCTGTCAGTTTACCTTATGGTTTACGAGCCACTTCAGCCTCTCAGGTCCTCAGAGGGCCAACTCGTGGGTCCAACCACACAAGCAAGGCTGGTTCTTATACTTGAGAGCCCCTTCTGTCTGCCACCTCTACACCCATGGGAATATATAGGAGAGACAAAGCTCAGTCTTAGACCATCCTGGCTTTAGTTTTCTCCTCTCTCCAACTCAGTCCCCCTACTCTGGGCCAAATGCTCCCTTTCTCAGAGTTGGGGGATCAATTGCTGAGTTAGACTTTGAGCATCATCACTTCTCTATTCTCTGATTTCTACAGTGTTGGTATGCTCTTCATCACTGGGATACAATATCCAGCACCCACAATTCCTTGTTCTTGATGATACAGGATCTCACTCTGTAATTCTGGCTAGCACTGAGCTCACAGTGATCCTCCTGCTTCAGCCTCCCAGGTCCTGGGATTAGAAGTGTGTTCCACCCAGCAACACTCATAAATTAAGGAAGGAAAGCTTTATTTTGGCTCCTAGTTTAGCCAGCTGGCTGGTACCAAGGTAGGGCCACATAGCAGAGGGGTGCAGCAGGAGGAGGAGCTATTCACCTCTGCATGAGGAAGGAAGCGGAGGGTGAAACTAGGAGCAGAGCCAAACCCTTCTAGACCACGCCCCCAATCCACCTCTTCCGACCAGGCCCTGCCTCCCAATAGCAAGTTAGCTATGAGCTCCCATAAGCCAACCTTCTTTATTTTTTGCTTTTTAAAGAGAGTACAAACTAGTATTAAAACAAAAATTACAAATGATACAGAATTTCACTAAACAAAATAATATGAATTCCACAGAACTTATTATGTTGCATAGAGTTTTCTTCAAATTAGTTGTTCATATTATCAGACATATGCATGCAAAATTGAAAGAAGGAAGAAAAAATATATAAGAAAATAAGAAGATATAAAAATGAAAAAGAATTTAAAAATAAGACAAAAACAAATTAAGCATTAACTGCTCCTTGACATAGACCAGCAGAAATCCATAGTGCAGTTGCACAAACCGTTCTGCTTACACATATAGATGCATCTCTTTCCCCCTCTCCCTCTCCTGTCCTCCTCAACTCAGTAATTCCTTTTGAGCAGGTTCATTCCCTTTTCACAGTATCTACTATATCTTTTAAATTTTCTTTTCTTTTTCAGGTTCTCACACTAAGGAGATAAACCATAATGTTTGCACATGCAGGTTTGCCTTATTTCACTTAAGAGTATGGTCTCTAGTTGCAACCATTTAAAAGCCTCAAATTTATCCTTTTTTATAGCTGAATAATACTCCATTGTGTAAAAAATACCATATTTTCTTTATCCATTCCTCAGTTGATGGGCATTTGGGTTGCTTCCAAGATTTAGCTATGACAAATTGTGCTGCTATACACATGGGTGCACATATATTGCTGTGTATGATGCTTTCAGTTCTTCTGGAAAAATACCCAGGGAAAATATAGCTGGGTTGAATGAGACCTCCGGTCCTAGATTTTTGAGAAATCGCCACACTGATTTCCATAGTGGTTGTAACAGACTGCACTCCCAGAAACAATGGAGAAGGGTTCCTTTTTCCCCACAGCCCCTCAATCATTTGTTATTGGCTGATTTCTTTGTCTTAAATTAATTTTATTGGGAAGCAAGTAGCAATGAGACAGTTTCAAAACCAATTAGTAGGGCAGTTTCAATAATTAAGACATTGCATGTTGTTGTCTGCATAGTGGTTATTCACAGTACAAGATGCAGACATGATATCCTGTCCAAATACTATTAGTATAAATATTTCTTCTCATTGAATTAAGAGGAAGTAGCTGTATATCTATCCTAACTATTTTGAATATACAGATACAAAATGGTCCTTCATTTGTATCCCTTTTTTTGTTTAGTTTTGTAAGGGGTGGGTATT